AATCCTATTCTTTCACTTTCCGAACACTAATCGTACTCTGGAAAGCTTTATATATATATATATATATATATATATATATTAACGATCACTTTTTATATGAAGCGTTTAATACTTTACAATTAATGTTATGTATTGAATTTTTTTTTTTTTTAACATTTACTTTTATAATATGATTTTATATTTTGAGTATATATATATATATAGCTGTAAAGTATTTGCCAATCGTAGTGTGACATGTAGACCGTAGACTCGTAGAGGATCTTACGGAAAGTCAATTTTCGCATGTCTATCAAGTGAAGCTCGAAATCGACTAAGCGCATGAAGGACTAGCGCACCTTGTACAAAAACAATGACAAACTTCACGCAAACCTCTGCAAGAAAATAATACTTGCGACATCATTACGCCTACATACGTAGTCCATGTGCATGTTTTGAAACTGTGCTGATAGGAAAACCAGCTACTATACATGTGGAATTCTACAAAACACCTAGAATTACTTCGAAGTAAATGGTATTAATACCATATCCTTCTGATACCCGGTATCCAAACCTAGTTACTTTCGTATAGATATTACTCTAAGCACCATTTAAGCAAGATTCAAGAGATATTCACTAATATTCTAGAGATGAAATCATGAAGCATGCAATTCTTGTTAAGAAATGAATGCTCAAGCTACACTATATAATTAAATCTAAGAGCAACCGCAGCATCGCCTAATGAGTTAAGCGTCAGAAGACTTTAATTAGGTTTGTTTTTCTCTTAACAGCAATTTAAATTAGGTTTTGTTTTTTTTTTTTTTGGCAAACAGCAATCTTAACTAAGTTTTTTTTTTCTTAACAACAATTTTTAATTAGTTTTTTTTTACTTAACAGCAATTTTAATTAGGTTTGTTTTTACTTAACCGCAATGTTTTTATTAGCAGCAAAATATTATTTTTTTAGTATCTTGGCTTATATATATATATATATATATATATATATATATATATATACGTTTTCGTTTGAAGCTTAAACACATATTTTGGTAACAAGGACCAACAAAACAAATGGATCTGAAAGAGAAGCTTCCGGTCAACGTAAGAGACGACAAGATAAGCGAAGAAACCAAGAGTTTGATCTCTTCTCTTCCTTCACACACAGATTCCCATGGGAACAAGATGTGTAGGTTTCAAGGATGTTGGTATTACTACAACACTCTCCAAGGCGTTCTTAATTTCCAGCGAGGTTTTCAACCGCAAGACACGGATATAATCCTTGCTTCCTACCCCAAATCAGGCACCACTTGGCTCAAGGCCCTCACAGTCGCCCTCCTCGAGAGATCAAAGAACCATTCCTCTGATCATCATCCTCTACTATCTCATAATCCTCAGAGGATTGTACCATACTTTGAGCTCGGTTTATATATTGAAAGCTCGAGTCCTGACCTGACCAAGTACTCATCAGTTCCGAGGCTGTTCTCGACTCACATGCCACTGGACGCGATGCACGAGACCCTCAAGGACTCTCCTTGCAAGATTGTGTACGTGTGCAGGAACGTAAAGGACACATTGGTCTCATGGTGGTAATACACATGGTTACTATGAAAAGCCGCGCGAGAAGTGGGATTAGTGGATCTGTGGATGGTCTTAATACCAAACATTCGGATTTTCAAATCCATTCAAACATGTGGTTTTTTTTATAGATGTCACTCTAAATATCATTTGAACAAAGATCCGAGGGTCTTTCTCTAATATTCTAAAGATAGAACATGCATTTTAGAAAACATATACTCAAGCAGAACTAAATCGGTTTTAAATGACGTTACTTTCATTTATCGTTCGTATGACGAGACGGAGACGTTACAGTGTGGATCTCTCAGTATCTAATTATTATACATTACAGTTACACTATGTCATGCTTATCATAGGCTCATCACTCAGTATTCATGTCATGAAAATGGCAATGAACTTTTTTATTGTGCATAATGTAATAGAACAAGCCCAACAATAACATGGCAATACACATACAATATATATAATGCACATTCTGGTGGATCCCAATTTAGAAGATGCGCCATATCATTTCCGATGAAATGATTCCAAAAGCGCATCCACAAATGCTATCTTGCTTATCTTATGAGTGTACCCTTTATCTACCCTTGGCTTTTTTTTGTTCAGCACCAGTGCACCACATCCACTCGATATATATACCACAACATTTCCAACTTCTGGTGAGTTCTGAAATTGTCCACCATCAACAAAAGTGCATTTGCGACCTTTGTAGTCACATTGGGTAAATAAGTTCCCAGCCCCTTTTGTTATCTTCAGGTAACTATATATCACCTGTCAAAAGTTACATGGTCTCATGTTACAATTCCCTATCTTTGTGTTTTTAAATGCACCCTGTTGTTCTATAGAGAACCCACAAACCACGGCTAAGGACAATTAGTCCATCAGCACATACTAGGTTTTAAAAAAAATATTGTGATCCAGTCCTTTGTATCTCCAATAGAATTTTTGTGTAAACATGCATGATAAAATATAATGTGTTATAAACAAATGGACTTCTAGTAACCGACCTATTAACCATCAGGTTAATGTCTCATGGCCCATTAGGGTTTCTGATACATTAGTTATGTAATGTATATATACACTGCTTATGGAAACAATAAGTTAAGAGTTTTTCCCTTAATACGTTATCAGCACGAAGCTCAACTTCAAACGATCATATCTCTCAAAATACAAGGAGTTATAAGGCGATCTACATATCATTTTGAAGCCCTGGAAGAGAAGAATCTAGTGGTGAAAACCGCTCCTCAATCCGACACCAGACGCGCCCTCAAGACTCAAAACAATCGGCGCTGTCCCACCTTAGCGGGTGATTCTTTCCAAGCGGTGGTTCCTCCATTGTAGCAGCTGTTCGTCCTCCCTTCTGGCCATCATTCTCAGGAGTTTCCAGTAGATATCTGTGATCTTTAGCTCCCAGATCATAAGCCGGTCAGAAATCCATTTGGCGAAAAGGTATTATCTAAACCCTAATGCTTTGTTCAAACCCTATACCGATCGGTCCTAGCATCATCTAAACCAAACACTAAAATTCCTTGCAAACCGAAACCTAAATCTTTGCAAAACCCTAGATCTAAAATCGTTTTGGTTTGTCTATCGTTAAACCGAGATCGATCGGTTTAAATCCTAAACCGATCGGTTATTTATCTTAGATCCGATCCTTGAAAACCCTAAAACCGGTCCATGCAAGCTCCTAAATCCTAAACCAATCGACCCCTTAAACTCTAAACCAATCGATCCACCTAAACCGTTTATAAACCGATAAATTCTAATCCTAAATCGATAGGGTTTAAGTTTAAACCGATCGGTTTTTCCTAATAAAAATTAAACCCTAGTAAATCCGTTTAGTTTAATCCCTTAACCGATTAATAACCCTAATAACCGGTTTCTAAAATTAAATCTAATTTAACCGGTTTTGTTGTTTAATCGATCAATCCGATCGGTTTAAGCTTAATCGGTTAATTTCAAATTAGTTTCCAAAATCAATCTAAAAAAAAAAAAATTAATTTCAAATTAGTTTATCTATTAGAGCTAAATTTGGAAACACTAGTAAACCGGCTAGGTTATAAACCCTAAGGTTCGATTTTAGAGTTCCCTTATATAGCAAGTTTCCTAAAATAGCAAGTTTCCTGAAATGGAAAGTTTTCCCAAGAATACCTTAAATCCCTTATTCCAATGATCATAGTCTCATACTATTGATTATTTAACATAAATTATTATATGTTTCAGATGTCAAACATTCAGAAGGTCGAATATGAGGCACTCACTGTCTCCGGAGATAACTACCTCAAATGGGCCCTTGACACCAAGATCTACCTCAACTCAAAAAGTCTGGGTGAATGCATCAAAGATCCCAACACCGCGACTCAAACAGAACGGTACTCGGCGATATTTATTATCCGCCATCACCTCGCTGAGTCTCTCAAGCAACAATACCTCACTCTTGAGGATCCACTCGAACTTTGGGTGGCACTGAAAAAGCGATATGACCATCAGAAAACGGTCATACTGCCCCAAGCCAAGTTCGACTGGAAGAACCTACGGTTCAAAGATTTCAAATCCGTCGAAGAATTCAATTCCGAACTCTTTCGGATAGTTGCACTCATAAAACTATGTGGCGAGGAGGTCACTAATAAGGATATGCTAGAGAAAACATTCTCTACTTTTGGCACTCCCAATGTTGTTCTCCAACAACAATACCGTGCCATGAATCATAGCACCTATGAGGATTTGATATCTTGCTTACTGCTTGCTGAGAAGAACAATCAGCTTCTGTTGAGGAACAGTGCCATGCGGCCTCCAGGATCAGCCCCATTGCCAGAAGGAACCAGAAAAGAGTCCAACTTCGTCCAACGTAACAGATCCTCAGATCGTGGACGTGGACGTGGAAATGGATATGGACTGCGCGGCAGAGGACGCGGTAGACCGAACCAAGAAAACCGACCTAACCTCAGTTTTGGTCGGGGTAAGGGTCGTGGTATCAACAAACCGACCCAAACAGGCAGTTCATCTAGACCAACTCCTTGCTCAAGATGCGGAATGACTAATCATTGGGTCAAGATCTGCCGTACTCCCAAATATCTTGCTGAGCTCCAGAAGTATGGGAAAGATAATCATGAGGCTAACCTGGTTCATCAAGTCAATGAAGATGACTCAAAGGATGATAAGATTGATGGCATGGATTATGAGCTCTCCGACCTCCTTGATTGATCTCAAAAATCTGAATTTGTTTTTCATTACTCCTTAAACTTTTATCTTTTGTTTTTTGGGATTTATTGTCTTTACTTTGGATTTTTAAGACCTTTTGCTTTTACATTTTAATTTATGGAGTAATATTTTATTTACATCTCATTTTTGCATGTTATTGAATTATAATTCTTGTTTAATAAAGATATGCAAGACAATATGAATATCATTGTGGATAGTGGATCGAGCCACACCATTCTAAAAGACAAGAATTACTTCATAAATTTAGTAATCAAAACCGCAAACATTAGCACTATAGCGGGTAGTTCGAGCCTAATAGAGGGCCATGGCCAAGCTAATGTGTTGTTATCAAATGACACATATCTAGACATCTCTGATGCCTTATACTCACCCAGTTCTAAGAGAAACCTATTGAGTTTCAAAGACATAAGATTGAATGGTTTCCATATCGAAACTCAGGATGAAGGGAACAAAGAGTTTTTAATTATCACTAAAATGATAAATGGCCATAAACAAGTTTTTGAAACTATACCCGCCGTATCTACTGGCATTTACCATGCTAAAGTCAGTATGATTGAGGCTAATGCTGCTATCAAAGTACGGTTTTTAGATTACACTATTTGGCATGATCGCCTGGGTCATCCCGGTGCGAACATGATGCGTAAATTAGTCCAGAATTCTAAAGGGCACAGCCTTAAACCAAATGGTATTTTCCCTCAGCACCTCAAGTGCACAGCTTGCTCACAAGGGAAACTGATTACCCGACCTTCACCAGTCAAAGTGTCTAAAGAGACCTTGAACTTTCTGGAAAGAATCCAAGGAGACATATGTGGACCAATTCACCCACCTTGTGGGACATTCAGATATTTCATGGTCCTCATTGACGCATCGACCCGCTGGTCGCATGTCTGTCTGCTCTCTTCTAGGAACCAGGCTTTTGCTAGGTTATTGGCCCAAATCATCAGATTACGAGCCCATTTTCCAGACTTCCCATTAAAGACTATACGTCTTGATAATGCTGGTGAATTCACTTCCCAAGCGTTTAATGAATATTGTATGTCCATGGGGGTAAGTGTTGAACATCCCGTTCCACATGTCCATACACAAAATGGATTAGCTGAATCCTTCATTAAACGAATTCAATGGGTTGCTAGACCATTACTCATGAGGTCACAACTCCCGGTCTCAGCTTGGGGACACGCAGTCTTACATGCCGCTGAACTAATACGCATACGACCATCTAGTGAGCACAAATATTCACCATCCCAATTGCTAACGGGTCATGAGCCAGACGTCTCCCATATTAAAACATTTGGGTGTTCAGTCTATGTACCCATTGCACCACCACAGAGGACTAAAATGGGACCTCAAAGGAGGATGGGAATATATGTTGGTTTTGATTCTCCCACCATCATAAAATATCTCGAGCCAACTACAGGAGATCTGTTTAAAGCCAGATATGCAGATTGCCGATTTGATGAATCGGTATATCCTAGATTAGGTGGTGAGACAGACAAGCTGGTAAAAGAACTTTCATGGAATCAAACATCCACACAATGGCAAGATCCTCGGACTCTAGAATGTGATTCAGAGGTCCAAAGAATTATACATTTACAAAAGCTAGCTAATCAATTGCCAGATTCCTTTGCTGACCCGAACAAAGTTACCAAATCGTACATACCAGTTTGTAATGCACCAGTACGAATAGATGTCCCCTCAGGGAAAAGTCAAGTTGCTACAGAGTCTGACGCACGTAAGAAACGTGGCAGACCACCAGGTTCCAAAGATAAGAATCCCCGGAAATCAAAGAAAGGTGCAATGATTGAAACCGGGATTCAAGAGAACACGGATACAGCCTCAGCTGATACTTACCCTATCAAACCATCTCAAGAGGTTTGGGACGCCAAAACTCAAGGTTCTGAAGGGATTGATAATAATGAGATCTCAATCAATTATATCATATTCGGTTCTCTATGGAACAGAAAAGATGTTGACATCAATGA